GGGGACAATTTAATAATAAATATATATATATGTATTCTTAGAGTAATGTAACGTCAAATTACAAAGAATGTTTCTTCGTACGAAGAAGAAGGAAACCCTTTCGTAACATCAAACCAAATTCAATGGTACGAGGAAGCAATACATCTGCGAAACTTGACGAAATTCAACCCGTCAAAGAGTTTGCTAACTCTTTGAAGAACACCGAGTATAAAGAAATTCTTATTTCGTGTGTTGAAATTTTCTCTCCTTTTTAAAAAAGATCTCGATCAAAGATTTCGACTAATGGAAAACAAATAAAATCAAAATAAGAGAAGGAAGGAGACTAGAAGAAAATTTTAATTAGAAAATTGTTCGTTTGTTTTTGTTTATAGCGATGGAAGCGACTTGTTGGATGATATCGGGGATGATGCTAAATCTGTACGCACAAACGACGATAGTAAAAAGTAAGTACATTTTTTTATATACTCATATACATATATTATCATTTTTTTAACATCTAATTATATCTAATATAATAATAATATGTTTTTGTTACGTTTTGTTAATAATAATATTGTTGGTATTATCATTTCGAATTGTAAAAAATAAAATTTCTATATGCTATTTTGTATGCAAAGAAAAATATATCGTGACAAATATTTTTCGTTTATGTTTTTCTTTTTTTTTCGTTTTGTTTTGATTTGTTTTTTTTCGAATCGTAAAAAATTAAATTTCTATATGTTATTTTGTATGCACAAAGAAAAATATATCGTGAGAAGTATATTCCGTTTATTTTTTTGTTTTTTTTTTTGTTTTGTTTTGTTAATAATAATATTGTTGTATTATCATTTCGAATCGTAAAAAATAAAAATATCTATATGATATTTTGTATGCAAAGAAAAATATATCGTGAGAAATATATTTCGTTTATTTTTTTGTTTTGTTTTGTTTTGTTAATAATAATATTGTTGTGTTATCATTTTGAATCGTAAAAAATAAAAATTTCTATATGTTATTTTTTATGCAAAGGCAAATATATCATGACAAATATTTTTCGTTTATTTTTTTTCTTTCTTTTTTTGTTTTTTTTTTGTTTTGTTAATAATAATAATATTGTTGGTATTATCATTTCGAATCGTAAAAAATAAAAATTTCTCTATGCTATTTTGTATGCAAAGGCAAATATATCGTGACAAAAAATATTTTTCGTTAATTTTTTCCTTTCTTCCTTTTCTATCGTACAATGAATCTTTCCATACAAAAAAATATTGACAAATTATAAAATATAAAATATTTGGTTTCACATAATTTCCATACTTATATGTTTCTTATCTTTCGAGATATATTAATATAATATTTGTGTATAAATTTGTGATTAGATTTTATATTTCGTTTATTTTGATTATAACATTTATTCCCTTTTTCTTTTTTTTTTTTGCACGGTACAATGATCTTTCGAGAAATTACGTGATTAAAGATGTAACTCAGTGATGAACTTTGTTAAAAGATAAAAGAGATTATATTGACTCAGTTAACGATTACGTTGTATTATGTCAGATATTGTCAAGGTGACCACCACTACCTTGACCTAAGTCTAAGTAATTGTACTTTATTCTCTGGCTTCATCAACAACGTCACTATAATCCAATATATTTCTTCGTGATCTTGGATGAAAAACGAATGAGTATTGTTTGTACTATCTTATCATATAAGAACAAAAAAAATCAAATCATTTCTATCATTTTATCCATATAATCTCTACCATCATATATACATTCTCACAAACTTTCTTTCTTTTTTCTTTTTATTGACATGAAAAATAATTAGCATTATAAACAAAAAAAAAATATATATATATATATTCAAACGATTTCGAGAAATAATGGTAGGACAGAGTCTTAAAAAGATTTATGGGAGGATCATTACCGATTACGTCATTGGCAACATTTAACGCGTTTAATAAAAGATGTTTATCTTGCGAAGAAAAGATTGGAATTCCAGTAAGACCATCTTCGTTGCATCTTTAATGTCTCTTTTTCTCTTATAGTTAAGATACGTAACTTTCCTAACACATGAGAACCCAAAATCATTACATTTTTATAATTAAATTCAATAAAATATCTTACTTTATTCAGATACTTTATTATTTATATATATTAAATATTTATTATTTATAAAAATAATAATATGAGACAATTTCTTAATAAATACACTTTCGAGTGATCTTGAAATTCTTTTCTTTTCTTTTCTTTTTTTCTATTTACAATCACTTTTTTCAGACCCCATTGCAACCTAACTTAAGTTTCGCTTTCTCGAATACGTTGCCAATACTTCTATCTGTGTAATTGCCTAGTGGAACGCATGAAATATGTTATTAAATTCGAACAACCGGATAAAAAAAAAAAAAGAAAAAAAAGAAATAGGTTATAACGACATGGCACATTATGGAAATTAGATATCGTTCTAGAATAGGAATCTAATTTCTATAAGTTAGAACCGCTTAAAGCGGATATTGGGATAATCGTGTGATCTTATTTTTTGCCCACCTTTCCAACCTCCCCCTCCCCCTCCCATCCTCCACCTACCCTCCACCACCTTCTTTTGCTATTTTGTTGAGGTTTTTTTTTTGTTTGTATTTTGCGTCGTTGATTTTTATTACGTTAATTACATGAAAGACAACACGCATATATGGTTGAGGTTGGATAAAACGTTGAACCAGTTTCTATGCAAGATTTCCGCTGGCCAATTCATTGCTCCGGGATATGAATGCGAATTCTTGGCTAGCAAATCAGCGGTTCACGGTCTTTCAAAAGCTTCGTTCATGGCTTGTTGAACCGGCTGACATAACTCTCTTCAATACAAACCAACGTTCATTCGTGGCTTGACTAGTCACCGCGAACGAGACTTGCATTTGAATTTTTATCAAGGGACGCGGGGAAAGAGGAGGAAGGGGCGGGGGGGGAGGGGAGGGGGTAATCAAAGATTTTTCCCAAAATTATTCGCGATTTTCGCGTGATATTTTTATTTAAAAAAAAACAATGAAATATCTGACATTGAAACAAGTATTGCCATATTAATTGTATCTAATTTATTTTTCCGTCTTTTTATTTTTATATTATTATATTTGAAAGATAATTAGATAAAACGTAATAATTCGTTATGTAAGAACAATTGTTCGATCGGTTAAGCGATGACGTGTTCGTTCTTTTTTTTTTTATTTTTTTTTCCTATCTCTAATCATACTACAAATAATTAATTTAATGCAATTTTTATTGATTAAATTGCCACTTTGAAATGTCGAAAATCCAGACTTGAGTTTAAGTTTGTAAATAATAAATAAATTTGCAGTTTTATTATACACGACTAATAATAACTAACAATAACTAACAAGGAAAATTAACAATATATCGAATTTTTGTTTTGTTTAATTCTACGTAGTTTTAGAGATCTGTCAGGAACACCATACACTGTGCCAATATAATAAAACCCAATCATATTCAATCGTTTCAATTCTTATATATACGTTATTATATATTATAAATTAAAAAAAAAAGCGAAGAGAGAGACAGAGAGAAATTATAAAAATTTTAAATTGAAATTATCAAATAAATTTTGTTGGTTAACCACATTTTTGGTGTGTTATGAGGAAGGCTCAAAACTTTTCAACTCTTCTCAACATTTTATTGTTTTCTTTTTGTTCTAAATTAAAAAAGAAAATCCTTTCCGATCTAATGGATAAATCGATTAACGAAATCACGGGTTTCTAGGCAGAATCACAGCGAAATAGAAAAACGAAGAAGAGACAAGATGAATACATACATCACAGAACTGTCAGCAATGGTGCCGATGTGTCACGCGATGTCCAGGAAACTAGACAAGTTGACTGTTCTACGAATGGCTGTTCAACATTTAAAAACCATCTTGGGAGCTGTTACCTCATATACGGAGGGTCATTACAAGCCAGCATTTCTCAGCGATCAAGAACACAAAACTCTGATACTTCAAGTAAGATATATTTATAATATACTATATATAATATATAAATTAAAATATTAAATATATTATAATGCTATATACTAAATATATAAAAATAAAATTAAAATATTAAATATTAAAATTACATATTAAATATTAAATATTAAAATACTATATACTAATGTGTGTGTGTGTGTGTTTGTGGAATGAGCGTCTCCATGCCAAATACTTAAATAACCATTCGTGAAGAGATTGTATGGTAGGTCCTGAATAGCTCAGTGGATAAAGAGCAGTAGCTTGGAAATAAAAGCGAAAGATATCCGTGGTTCGAGTCCCGGGTCGAGTCAGTCAGTCCTTCCAACAGAGCTCAATTTTTTCTTCGAATCTTTTACACTAATCTATAAAAATAATTAAATTAAAATATTAAAATTATAAAAAA